ACTGAAGTTGTCTTTAGGCCATTCTCAAAGGGTAGATATTATCATGTTCTTATACACAGTAGAATTGTCAAAGGGCTGATGTATCAATGTCATGCTCATACTGTGCCGGAACAACAAAGGGGGAGCTTGTGCTTACTCTTTCCTATCCTTACTATCGTTATTTTTGGCTCTTTACACGAATTTCCTCACTTAACCCAGGTGGGAATGGGTACCCAGCTATTGACAGCGAAAGATCTTATCGGTTTGTTAGTGTTTGAGCATGTGCATTCCGCAGCTTGCACTGTATGCTTCCCGGGAAGCCGAGAATGTTTCTGAGTGTTCTAGGGTCTGCTCAGGTGATAAAAGTCGTAAAAAGTGTGCTGCAGAGCGTGGATATAGTATAGTATAGTATAAGGTTTTACGGCGCTCGCAACTAGAGCGTGGATATGCGCTATTGAAGTGCAGTTTTTATTATCATTATCTAGTATAATGTTGTTTCCATTTATTATGAGTTTGGCAGTCATTTAGTTGTGTGCCTGAAGGGGTCTTCTGTGTGGTCTGCTTCTTCTTTCCTATCAAACATCTATGATTCTATCGTTTTCTATCCCCCCTCCTCCTTTTTTGTGTTTGTTACTCTCTTGTAACACCTCTAATCTTCCGCTCTTATATGACCTTATTGTGTTGCAAATGCTGTAAAACTCTAACTAAAACTAAACCAAAACTACATGGATTTCACGTCTTTGCCTATCGCCAGCTAGCTGATCAACTATTTTATCCTCGGAATGCAAAACTTCTCAGGAGAGAGATTAAACTGATTAATTCTTTAAAAAATTGTAACTATGTAACGTAACGTATCTTTTTTTACTTTTTGTAAGAAAAGTTACGTTATATAGCTACAATTTGCAAAATCCACAGCCTCGTTCCTCTCCCCCCCTCGCATGTGTACATTTGTATGTATGTAGGTATGTACGTATGTATGTACATATGTATGTACGTATGTATGTATGTATGTACGTATGCATGTATGTATGTACGTTTGTATGTATGTATGTACGTATGTATGTACGTATGTATGTATGTATTTACGTACGTACGTATATACCTATATACATGCATACATATGTATTATATGTACGTATGTATGTATATACGTGCGTACGTATGTATGTACTGTATTGTAGTTGATATGTTCGATGGTGTTTTACTCTCCCCCCCCCC